CGACTTTTAGATATATATACACAGTTTTGAAATTTTGTCGAGTTTGCAACTTATTTTTTCTTACAAGTAAGTTTATTTATTTTTTTCTACAATAAAACTATAATAAGGATGACTAATTTCTCGAAAACGTTTAGAAGGGAATTTTTTTATAGTTTTATGAGTCAATAAAAAAAAGTATTAAAACAAGAAGCCAGGGGAAAAATATTTTTTTAAATATAACTTCCAGCCGATAAAAAATTTTCACTTTGAATTAACTCTCACGTCATCAGCTCATAATGAATGTATATGACCTTTTGAATTTGATAAATAGCCATAAAAACCCATTAACTCTCCACCTTTCTTTTAAATACATCCATAAAACAATGGAAAATTATTCCAATATTTCAAATTATTACATAGAATTTAAAATTTACTTTTTTAAATTTTTTGTAAAAATTTAAAATCCTGAAAATATTTCGAAGCGAAAAAAAATTGCATTTAAATTACAAAACTATTTATCTATATATCGTTTTTGGATATTTATCGACTTTAAATATTACAAATTTTTTTCTCAATTATTTATTTCATTATTAGAGCAGATAATTGGCGGTTTAGTAAAATATTGACTCTGTTAAATAAAGTACATATCCAAAGCGATATATAGAATATTTTAAAATCCATAATATATTTAAAAAAAGAAAACCAACGTCCACACACTGAATTGTTTTTAAGATTAAATAGCGAACAGTGTACATAATAATTTATAGTTCATAAATAATCTATAATAAAATGAATGAGGTAAAACGAAATTTCCGTGCTGTATTTTAACCGCATCTTTATTGCTTTACAACCTGCTGAGTAGATCGATGTATTGTTCAAGGTAACACGATGCCAATATGACTTCAAAAAGAAAAATAAATAATTGAAAATACCTTTTTTAAGGTATGCGCGCATATACGTGAAGTTAGTTATTTCAAAAATGTTCATTGAATATAATAGGAACAGAACAAAGAGAAAAATGGGAAAGAAAAAAAAATGCGAGAAACAAAAAGTTTATTATCAAACAAAAAGGCATTAATTTTATATTCATATAGTATAATAATATATTGTCAAATTATTATAAATTAATAGCGTAATAATATTTGTCAAATATCAAATTAATATCCTAATAATATTGTCAAATATTAAATTCATATAGTACCTACGTTAATATAATAAATTATAATAATCAGTAAAATAATCACATTATTAAGAGGATGTGTTTTCCTCTTTCCTTCCTTTATATCCAGTTAATAATGCATTTTTTTTAACGATTAAAAATTCAACAGGTAGATTTCAAAGATAAAATTTAAACAGACCGTACAATTAATGTTCATTTATATTTAAGACACAGTGAATTTTTTTTAAATTCAAGCAAGCTTCATTAAGACAAAGAATAGGATATAATAGGAGATTTTTTTGCACAGTAAAAGATAATTTGTTTAAATAGAAGGCATTTTTCAAAGTTAATAATAGCTTCTTTGATCGTTGAACTTAAGTAAATTAAAGAAAGCCTTTATTTTGTGTCAAATAAAGAGAAAAATGCGAAATGAAAAAAGTATTTTTTTTAACATTAAGGATTTCTTTTAAATTATTTAAGATGCTTTAAATACTGAAAAATTTCAAGTAAATTAATATTTTTCAAAACCAAGACAGATACCTCAAAGTTGAAATAAAAAAAATTTATTTAATTCAAGAAATATTCTTCAATATCAAGAAAGATTTTTTAAATCGAAAAACGATTCAAAGAAGAATTCTTTAAATTAAAAACTTGAGAAAAACTTGAAAACTTGAAAAGGTATTCTTTAAGACGAAAAAAAATTTTTTAATCCAAAAAGTATTTTCGAAAATACTTTCTTAAAATCAAGAATAATATTCTGATTTCAAGAAATATTAATATTTTCTTTAAATTCAAATACGATTTTCTTTAAAACTATATAAAGATCTCTTTAGATAAAAAAAGAATTTAATTTAATTTGAATTTTTTGATAATTTAATTTTTTATTTAATTTCAAATTCTTCTTTAAATTCAAGAAAAATTCTTGAGTGCATGAAAATTTTTTGCTTCAAAGAAAAATTAAAGTACAACATTATAGTCATCTTTATTAAAAAATGAGAGTTAATTAAATTTGCAAATCAATTTAAAAAAGAGTTGAAAGAAAAAAAATTTGCGAGATAGAATAAAGCTTTTAAAAGACACGGTTAAAAATTACACAAATAGGTGAAAAAAAAAATCCACAGTCATAGAAATTGAAATGCGAGGCATCAAACGTAAATTGGTTCAATTAAAGTGCGGAATTTTTCCGAGCATTATACAATACTATTATAAAAAAAAATAGTTACTTGTCAGTTTGATGGATTCGAAGCAATTTTTTATCATTCTTTTAACAATACTTTTACATCAAATGTCAATTGTTTCGCCATCAAACTAACAGTGCATTGAAAAAAATTGTTTCGTTCAATTTTGATATAATATTAATATTTTATACTAGTATTTTCTATTAGTATTTTAAATTAGCATTTTATTTTACTTAATTATATTTTCTTTCTGCCAAAAGCGCTTTTTAATTATTTTGCAATAATTAAAGTAATTTGTAATAGTTAAATTGTTTTTATATTAATTTTATATTAAGCCTTTTTATTAAAATAATAATAATAAAAATTTTTACAAATAAAATAGTTTCTATTTTATATTAGTTAATCATATTTTCTTTTTTAAAACCGTTTTTTTTTAAATAACATTGCAATAATAAATAAAGTATAATAATTTATTAATTTGAAATAATTTAATTATTTTGTATTTACAACCCTTTTTATTACAAAATATTTAGTATTTTATATAACAGGAATCATAGTGATATAAATTATTTATTTATAATAATTTATAATTTATAATAATAAATATTCGCTAAAAAAATTTGAAAAGCAATTTTGAAAATCGAATATATATTTTCCGATATTTTCTTTTAATTTAATTAATTATCAATTCTATAAAAATAATGTGGAGCTAATACCTACTTTTTGTAAAATAAGCGAATCGAAATTTTTTAATCACTCCTTTGATAATTATATTTTAATTATAATATATAATTATACATATTTCAATAAATTATATATTTACTTACAAAATAAACTCGACAGAAAATTATGATAGTTAACTCACCTGAAACAAAAAAACATACTTTATATTAGAATTATTATAAAAAAAATAAAAAACGAAAACAAATAATTTCTAATAAATAATTCTATATTAAATTAATTTTGTTTTAAAATTTTCATGAATTTTTCTATATTTAGGTGGAAATGAATTTTTAATTATAAATTATTCGTTTCAAGAAGAAATTAATTTTTAATTTTGGATAAAATATTAAACTTCCGGTAAAAATTAATTTTTAGAAGGTAAAGTATTTATTTTTAGGTAAAGATTTTTTTTAGTAAATAAAATGTTTATTTTCAGGTAAAAATAATTTTTTGCATAATTGAAGGTATTCTTTTCACCCAAAAAATAATTGTTAATATATAAAATATTCTTCTTAAGTAAAAATTAATTTTAAGTGTTAGCCAAAGTGTCTTTTCAAGTAAAAATAATTTTTTAGTGATAAAGTATAAATTTTCAGATAACAATCAATTTTTAGAAAATGAATTATTCTTATTAGATTTTTCTCTAAAAAAAATGTGGAAAGAAAAGAATATATATGCATTATTTTAGGTGGTTTAGGAAATTTTATTAATTTAATCCTTTAAGGGTATAAAAAAGGGAAAAAGAGGAAAAAAGAAGACTATAACTGTTATCCCTGATATTAGTATTTTATATTTGTTTTTTATTAAAATCGTTTATTAAATTATTTTAAAAAAATAATTCTAAAAAGTTCTGAATGTTCAAATGAACGAAATTTATTTATTTCTTCTTCAAATTAACTTCTCATTGCAATAATTTTGCATCACTGTCAAAAAAATTAATTATAAAGTTTCTAAATGTTTAATATAGGTTTTTAACTTTTATTACAATCAGAACTAAAGAAAAATATTTTGTGAATAAAAAAATTCCGTTCATTTGAACTTTTAAAACTTGTGGATCATATAAGAAAAAACTTGAAGAAGAATCTGACGCACAGTCAAAACAAAAGTTAGTCCAATATAATTTCTTAATTTAAAAGAAAAAGACAAGAATTAAATTTTAAATTCGTTTTGATGGAAAGGCGAAGAATTTAATTTTGAACATTTAATACAATTAAAAGTTGCATTTGAATTATAAAAATTACGTCAATAAGAAACATTTGTTAAATTTTAGCTTCTATTACTTGAATCATTTTTATTAATTTATTATTGACAAAAAATTTAATTTTTATTCAAATATAACTATTTAAAAAATTCTTACGCTTCTATCAAAAGGAATTTAAAATTTAATTTGAGTTTTTCTTTTAAAATACATAATTATCCGAAATTATGACATTGGACTAACTTTTGTTCCGATTCGGATTCTTCCTCAAATATACGTCTTTTTATAACAAAATTATTGTTTTATAATGTATTTTAAACTTCTATTCGAATATTTTATTTAAATAAAAAGAGAATATTCTAAAAGTACCTTATCATAAATTACGAAATACAAGTTTTTAAAATTTGGTTTAATAATAAAAAAAAATGCTGTCTCTATACCACAGTTCGTTACTTAGATGATATCCCTTTAATATAAAAGATGCAATCCTTTTAACGGGGTTAAATATTTGAAAATACGAGAATGAGCCAAAGAATGAGAAAGTAGGTGGAACTTTTTAAAATTGTAAACTGTGCCTTTTGTAAATGTATATATTTCGTATATATATACCCAACAACTGTTAGCGAGCTTCATTGAAGAATAATAAGCACACCAGTGGTATATACATATATGTAAACGTACATAATACCCGCGGGATGTATGCCTTCGCTCTCTCTCTCTCTCACTCTCTCAACGATAGTAATGGATGAAATTTTAATTTCAGAGTCCAACGCCACCGCAGTACGTGTTCTGGTATCACAATAGCAGAATGATAAACTATGACACAACGCGTGGAAGCGTTGTTGTATTAACCGAATCAGGACCAACCCAAAGCCGGCTAACCATTCGGCAAGCGATCGAATCGGATACGGGCAATTATACGTGCAGTGCATCTAACACTAAGCCTGCATCAATCTATGTCTTCGTTACAGAAGGTAAGTCACTATTCTCATACCTATACATTACACACATACATACACTCTTCGAACTTCACACAATCACTGACATTACAAACCCATACAATGCACAAACTCTCGCGTACAACTTTTGGACTATGCCACAAGTCAAGCCACATAGTATTCCTCGTTTCACGCAATCTGAGACAATTCATCAGTGAAACTTAAGACGAGAGACTTGTACAATCCCTAATAGTTCACATTACAAAAGCGACATCGACTTTGACTACTACCACTGTGTGTCTGTAGTTGAAAACTTTTATTCAAACTACTAGCATTCTTTGAAAGAATTTATATAATAATATAACACATTCACTACATTCTTCATTTAAAATTCACAATATATCCCCGCATGTGGGATATAAATCAGAATTTAAGGAATTTTGATAGATTCTCTAGTATGAGGGTAAATTTACGCGGCTAATTCTAATTAATCGGTTTATCTTGAGATATATCATAAAATATTAGCTTTACAAAATCAATGTGAAATTTTACCGATTTATTGCCACATAAATCCGATGATAAATGTTAGAATTATACAAATTCAGTTAACACGTATTTAGATTTACAGATTTGTGTATATAAGCGATTGTACCGAAATTAAAGAAAAAAAGACTTATACTTTCTTTTGAAATAAAAAGGAAGAGAACAAAATAATATAGAAAAAAGATCTACTTTTTAACGTGAAAACAAGAAAAAGACTACTAGTATAAAAAAAAGTTTTAGATTTATAGCAAAAGCTGGAGTATAGGTACAAAAAAATAACTTCAAATTGATAAAAAAAAAGAACATGAGAGCAATATTACAGAAGATAAAAGAAGAAAAGCTGAGCTTTTAGCTTGAAAATTGAAGAAAAAGATTTGGTACAAATACAAAATTCGAAAATTTAGCAAAAATTAGAGCAACAGAACAAAATGCTAAAAGAAGACACCTTTTAGCAAAAAAAAAAAAAACCAACAGAATCAATAGAAAATACAAACAAGAAAGCTCTAGATTTAGGAAATAAATACAGCATTGGAAGACATTAAAAAAATGTACTTAAAGATTCGAGCGTTCAATGGACGAAAAAGCGTGCATAAAAAATAAAATAAAAAAAACAAAAATATTAATATAAATATTAATATAAAATACATTAATATAAAAATAATGTATTTTATATTAATGAATCGTTTCTTAAACAATACAATAAAATATTTAGAATTTGCATAACCAGGGTTGCTACAAAATATTTAATTTTGTTTTTCCCTAACTTTTTCCTGACTTCCAGACAAAATCTTGACTTTTTCCCTGACTCTAAAGAATATTCTGATCCACTCTAGAAATTATTAGATACTCAAAAATATTTCTTTATTACATTTATTTAAAAATTTCTTTAATTGTAAATAAATAAATAAATAAATAAATAAAATTATTCGAAAACATCAATAACTTTTAATAAATAAGGTTGAACAAAAAGAAATATTAAATATACATTCATACAAAATTACTCTATATGGTTCAATGAAACTAAATTCAAAACATGAAAAAATCAATCACTCCGAGTCGGAGACTTGGAATGATCGATTTCTTCATGTTTTCTAATAATTTAGATTATCATAAAATTTAAAAAAAAAATTTAATTATTTCAAAAAATCCTAATAAAATCCTTCGCAAGAATTCAATTATTTTTACAAGTAGTAAAATTTCTCAAAAGAATTCAATTATTTTTATAAGTAGTAAAATTTCACAAAAGAATTCAATTATTTTTAAAAAAATGTAATAAAATTCGTTGCAAGAATTCAATTATTTTAATAAATAATAAATCGATTATTCGGAAATTCTAAGAAAATTCAATTATTTAAATTCAAAAATAAATAATTTATTTAATAATTTAATTTTTGTTAAATTTGAATTCTCATAAAGAATTTTATAAACAAATTTTTAAATAATTGAATTCTTTTGACGAATTTTAATAAAATTTTCAAGAATAATTACATTTTTCAAATGTGATTAAAATTCGATTAAAATTGTATTTAAAATAATTGAAATCCTGCGATGTGTTTTATTATTAATGGAAATAATTAAATGTTTTGCTTAGAATTTTATTAAGATTTTTTTTTAAATAATTAAATTTCTTTGAAAAATTTTATTAAAATAGTAGATATTTAAAATCATTGAATTGATGAAAATTTTTGAAAATAATTAAATTTCGGAGAAGAATTTTATTATTTATAAAGATACATGAAATTTTGACAAGAATTTTTAATAATTTTTGAACATAATTGAATTTCTGTGAAGAATTTTATTACTTTTGAAAATAATTGAACTTCTGCAATTATATTTGTAACTTCTTGAAAATTCAATTTTTTTGAGTGTTTTTAACAAAAATTCTTCTATAAATCCATAATTTTTAATAATTAATTAAATATGTAAAAAAAATGTAATTAATTTCAGAAGAATTTGAATTATTAACATTTTTTAAAAAACTAAGTTCTTTAAAATTTATAATTAAATTCATTGAAAATTGAGAAAAAATTAAATCTTCTCCCAAAAAAACAGGCAAAATCTGAGAAATATACTATTTTTGTCAGGAAAAAATTCAGCATTGGAACGAAATTTAAAAAAAATGCCGTGAAGAAAAAACAAGAGTAATAATAAGAAATGTGAGGAAAAAACTCTGGATTTAATACAAAACAGAGCAAATGTACAAAATCAAGAAGAAAAACCTTGAGAGCAAATAAAATAAGAAAGGTTTCGCAATATTAACTACAAAAGCTTGAGCTTTAACCAAAAGCAAAGCAATAGTATTATAAAATCTTTAAAAAAGAGCTAATGATTCTATCAAAAACAAGAGTTAAGGTGATAAATTCAAGAAAAAAGCTCGAAAAAGGAGCAACGATAAAGAAAATTTAAAAGAAGCTCCGGATATAGCAAAAACATAAGAGTCACAGTACAAAATTCAAGAAAAAAGCTCAAGAAGAGAACAACGATATTAAAAAAAAATTTTTAAAGCTCTAGATTTACCGAAAACAAAAGTGACGATACAAAACTCAAAATAAAAACCTCCGGATTTGACAAAAACCAGAATTAAAGTACAAAATTTAAGAAAAAAGCTTTTAATTAACAAAAAAAAAACAAGTTTAATAATATAAAGTAAAATAATAATTTACTGTAAAAAGAAAGGTAGTAAAATTTAGTACCAATTTTAGTACTAAATCGTAATTTGTTTCTATATTTAAACACCGAAATCATCTCTAATTTAGCACTATTTGACAGTATTGGATAAGAAACCTCTGTTTCTAATCAAAAATAGAACAACAGAATTTTAAAATAAAAAATCGAAGATTCTTATTTAGAAACTCTGAAAATAGCTTAAAATAAATTTCTCTTGTTATATATAGGTACATAGACTATAAAATGAAAAATGTAGAGACAATTTGACTATATTTCGATGAACGCAACAATAATTGTTGTATGGCTTGGAAGTTTTGCGGTTATTATGTTAAATTATGAGTATAAATCATTCACGTGCTCTTAATCCATTTATATTTAGAATAGAAATTGCTGTACATTCATTATAATGAAAACAAGACTTTCATGACATCCATCTCACTTGGTTCTGAATTTCAAGCAGGAGAAGATTTTCTACATGATACTTGAAAGCACTCACGTAAACGAAATAAAGCTCTCAAAAACAAAAAAAAAAATTTCTTTTCCTTTTTTAATTCCAAATTTATGCATTAGTTATTAACTAGTTTTTTCTATAAAATATATTAAAATGAAAAATCGTTCAAACAAATAAACTATATAATATTCTTCATTTGTTTAAATGTATTAATTTTTTAAAATTTTAATTCATAATTCTCGTCAAATAAAATCATTATGCTTATTAAAAAAAATTATCAAAAAAAAAAGAATTGTTATTCATTAAAAAATATGAATTTTACTCATTAAAGAGTTAAGCAATTTTTTTCTGTTGTTTTTTTCGTTTATAAAAAGTAAATACAACCAAAAAAACATTTATTTTAAACTAATTGGCTGAAACAACCAATCAATGTTTCACTTTTAATTCACTTATTTTCACAATTCAATGAATTTCATTTTAATTGCCAGTTTTACAAAAGATCACAGATTTCATAAATTTTTTATCATTCTCAGGTAATTTTTATTTTGTTTCATGAATATAACGTATTTATTAAAGAAGTATTTTTCAAAACCTCCGCAAAGAGGACCTTTAAAAAGGATTCCTTGAAATAAATATTTGTTGAATCTATAAAAAAAATTCTTTAAAACCAAGAAATAACATTTATTAAATCCATAACTGCTTAATAAAATTCCAAAATTCTCTAAATTTGAAAAAAAATTGTTTAAATTTGAAAAAGTATTCTATAAAACAATAAAAATGTTTTAAATCCAAAAAAAATTTCAAAAATAATTTCTTAAAGTCAATAAATATTTTCTGATTTCAAGAAGTATTCTTCAAAACCAAGAAAGATTCTTTAAATGCAAAAAAAATTCATTAAAATCAAAAGACATTCTTTAAATTCGAAACATATTGTTTAGATTGAAAAAAGTATTGTTTAAAACGATAAAAAATATTTTAAGAATAAGATTTTCAAAAATAATTCTATAATTCAATGATGTATTTTCTGAATCCAATAAGTATTCTTCAAAACCAAGAAAAATTCTTTAAGTCTAAAAAAAATTAAAAAAACAGTATTTCACTTATTCTTTTTATTTTGTGTTTGAATTTTCACGTTCATGAAAACCAAAATTCTCTAAAAGACACGTTATAACATTTATTTTCAATAAAAGAATTTCCAGAAATAAGAAATAAAATAAAAAGTACTTAAAAGCAGAAATATTCAAAATTGAATGTCCACAAATAAATTTTATAGAAAAAAAAGAGAAAAACAATTTCGATATAAAAACTTTCACACCAAAATTTCACATGTTTCCTTTTTTCTATCTTTTTTTCCACATCGAATTGCGCACAGTAATAATATTAATTAAAGACAAAACAAAAAAAATAAATAAATGTCATTGATGTGTACGTGTCTGTTTTTAATAGATGTTGCCTTTTGTTTAAAGGCACAATAGAAAGAGATTTAAATTGAACGAAAAATAAAAATAAATCGCGTAGTAGAATGGCACGTGCTGTACAAAAAGTGATTTGCTCGATTATATGCATAAATATAGGTTTGAAAATATAAACGACAATAATAATACAAAAATAATACGACAATAATAATTCAATTTTACGAAATTTCGATTATTCGAAAATTCTTCAATTAAATATACATTAGAAAATAAAAACTTGAAATAATTTTCAAAAATTTCGATTAAGCTTTTTGAAAAAAATTAGTTCCATCGAATTTTTAATTAAAAGTAAGAAAAATTCAAATTTTCAATGATTTTAATTTGAAACTTTTACAAAATTCAATGATTTCTAAAAATTGTAAAGTAACTTCTCCAAAATTCAATTCTTATCTAAAACTTTAACTAACATTAATTTATAAATCAATTTTCATTATTTATTATTTAAATACAAATATAAATAATTTATGGAATAATTGAATGTTTCTTAAAATTGGATTCTTGTACATGATTTTATTAATAAATTTTTAAATAATTAAATTTTTCGATGAATTTTAATAACATTTTTAAGAATAATTACATTTTTTGAGAAATTCTAGTTAAAATAGTCACAAAAATTTAGAATTTTCTTATAAATTCTAAACATTTAATTCCAGGCCTCGAACTAGGTCCATAAAATCTCGTAAAAGTCCGTAACTTTGCTTGAAGTCCGTAAAAGTCCTTTTTTTAAAAAAAGGTCCGTAAAGTCCGTAAATTGTACGATATAATTTGGATAATTGTAGGAATTCAAATTGATTGTAGGAATTCAATTATTTTCAAAAGTATAATAAAATTCTTCGCAAAAATTCAATGATGCTCAAAAAATTTTTAAAATTCTCGTCAAAATTTCAATTCTTTTTAGAAATAATTAAATTCTTCTCTAAAATTCAATTATTTTCAAAAATTTTGATAAAATTCTTGGCAAAATTTCAATTATTTTCAAAAATTTTCCTCAGTTCAATAACTTTCAATAGGTATCTACTATTCTAATAAAATTTCCCAAAAGAATTCAATTATTTAAAAAAAAATTTAATAAAATTCTACATAAACCTTTAATTATTTTCAAAAAATAATAAAAATTTCACAGGAATTTCATTATTTACAAATTTGTTTTATAGATTTCTTCGCAATCATTCAATTATTTTCATAAATTATAAAAACTTTACAGGAATTCAATTATTTTGGTAAATAATAAAATTCTTATTTGGAGTTCAATTATTTTGTTAAATGATAAAACTCATTGCAGAATTTCAATTATTTTTAATACAATTTTAATTGAATTCCTCGAAAAAATATTCTTAAAAATTTTATTATAATTCGTCAAAACAATTCGATTATTTAAAAATTTATTGATACAATTTTTTATGAGAATTCAATTTTAAGAAACGTGCAATTATCAGTTTTCAATAAAATATTAATTATTAATTTTTCCAATTTTCAATGATACCTATTAAAATTTTCCTTTTTTATTTTCAGGTGACAAAATGGCAGCGATTCTCCGACGGAAAACGTCGGGATCAAGCAGAACAAGAGAAAGTTTGGTGCTAACACTGATATTATTCAGCGCCGTTTTAGTGCGATAAACGTTTCATTAAAAAAGAAAAAAAAAATGTCCACAATTATCATTATTTCTTTTTTTGTGATAGGTAGATACATTTCGCAACTATTATCTTTTTTCAACATCGAGGTTAATAGCAGCAATTGGACAGCGCACTTTTCAAAAATAAAAAAGAAAACAAGAAAAAAAAATTTGTATTATCAAAAAGAGAATATAATATCACGAGTCCATTATCTGCCACCTAAATTGTGTAAATATTAATCCAAAATACTCGGTGGACGAAGGATGCCTATCGAGATGAGATTTGGCTATACTGACATGATGATAACAAAAAAGTATTTTAAGTTAAAATTCGAAAAAAAAAATTTCCTAAAATTTTATCGAAATAATGTTTTTTTCCATTTTTCCGCAACAATAAAGTAAATGAAAGAAGAAAGTGTCTTGCGGCGAAATTACTGGCCCGAGAGAACAGAGAAAAATCAACTAAAAATAAACAAAAGTTTCGTTTTAACAAAATATATATAAATAATTGTTTTGCAACATGAAGCCAGCAATTTCCTGAGGACAGAAATGAAATATTGATTTTGCATTTCGCGTAAAGCCGGCTCACTCGAATGTATCCGTCGCCGGATATAACGACACGGATATGAGAGAAAACGCCTTCTCTCTCTTCTTGAAATTAGACCCGATTTAACGAAAACGAAAAGTGTAGCACAACATATATATATAACACGTGTGTGTGTGTGGACTCATGTCAGTCTATCTCTCTCAATCTGCCATATCCTCGCAAGTAATCATTTTATCTTCGTTATATTTCCTGATCGAAATCGTTCGAGATCCTTCCCTCCCCCTTCCCTTATTCCCTTTATATAGTTCAATCGTTTGAGTCTTCGGAGAGAGAGAGAGAGAGAGAAAGATCTCTTCACTATTTTCATTATATAAATCCCAATCATCTCTTCCGGTTTTATTCCAGTAGCGGTGAAATCAAATAACTTATTATGCCCCTTTTCTGTGCTTCAATTATATATAATATAATCTCTGATAACAAAATTATTCTTTTAATAAATTTAACTTCTTCATTCTATTTCTCATTCTTGTTTTTAACTTTCTATTTAAAGAAAAGAAAAATCTGCAGTTTTTAATTATTAATTAGTTTAAAAGTAATCTGAAATTTCACTGCGGATACTCCGAAGACCCAAATACTGTACCAAATATAGAGATAATTTAATGTCATATGTATATTACATAATAGCGAGAGCCACCGAAATGCATATCGATTGTGCTTTATAGAAATATAAATAAAAAATCATCGCCATTTCAAGTACATTCGGATTTCAATTTAGTTGAATTTAAACAATTTTATATTTAAAAATTATTATAAATTTTTGTAATATATCCTCATTAGGTACCAATATTATCTCTCTAAATTTAAATCAGTAAAAATGTTTACTAATTTGTATCAGCAACTGGCTTTTTGCTGCTGAATTAGTAAGTTTTCCTAATAAACTAGTAGAAAATCCACTTTATTTAGTAAAATTTACTAATTCAAAAGCAAAAAGTCAAAGAAAGTAAATTTTTCTAATAAATTAGTCGAAATTACTATTTATTAGTCAAATTTACCAATTCAAAAGCAAAAAGTCAAAGAAAGTAAATTTTTTTACTAAATAAGTCGAAATTACTATTTATTAGTCAAATTTACTAATTCAAAAGCAAAAAAATCAGTCACTAATTCAAATTAGTAAACATTTTTACTAATTCAAATTTAAAGAGATCATTCTCGGTTCTAAGGAAAGTAATTATAATTTTAAAAATTAATATTCAATGAATAGAATTTTATAAATATTATTTTATACATAGTTGTTTATAAATATTATTTTACACTGAGAAAAATTTATTTGATTCATATAAACGAATACTTCTCTATTATTAAATAAATTTATTAAATATTTATAAATAAATATTTTATTGGCATTTATTCAAATCAATAAAATGGTGTTAGGTTCAAATATTCAAATTATTGGTTCAAATACAATATTTCTTTAATTTAAATAAAAATTACATGATTCAAGTAAATATTTATTTGTAAATAAAAATTAGGAATAATTTTCAATAATATTTCAGATAGAAATTTTAATTAATTCAAATTTAAATTCATTGAAATATGAAGCAATTTACGTCTATAAAGTGCTGAAAATTTAAATAAACGAAATTTAGGTAATTATTTCTTTTTCAAACGCAAGTTTGATTTTAAAATACAATAATAATAATTTAAATATTAATTTGAATCACAAATTTAAATAAATATTGTGTTTGCGTCACGTTTGCGTCACAATTTACAAAACTTTGAAAATGTTTAAATAAGATTTTTAATTTTTTTTAAAGTCAATAATTTAAAAAAATATTTATATCCAAAAAAATTTCGTTTAATTAAATTAATTTTTAAGTTTACAAAAACTGATAAATCTATATTTATCAGATTTATCAGGTTTTGCTAAATTTTTTTTCTAAAATATAAATAAATAAATAGGTTAAAATTAGCGAATTTTAAATTTATACCTAGTAGAATTTAAGATTCAAAAAATAAAAAAATTTGTTCCAAGGACTGATAATTTTTTATCAATATATAAATTAGGAATAATTTTCAATAATAATAAGAAAAGAAATTTCAATTAATTCAAATTTAGATGCTTTAAATATGAAGCAATTTACAAAACATTAAAAATGTTTAAATTAGATTTTTTGATTTTTTTTAAAATCATCAATTTTTAAAAATATTTATATCAGAGGAATATTTTGTTTAATTAAATTAATTTTTAAATTTCCAAAAACTGATAAATTTATATGTAGAACTTTTTTCTAAACATGATTTTTATGCATGATTGAAATAATACAAAATTGATAAAAATCACGTTTAAGAAAATAAAAAAATTAGTTTATCAGGTTTTGCTAAATGGTTTCTAAAATAAAAATAAATAAAAAAATATATAAATTGAATGACAAAGAAGTTTGAAATGAATGAATTGGAGATAGGTAAAAATTACCAAATTTCAAATTTATACTGTATAAAATTTGGATAAATTGAAATTTATATCAACTGAATTTGAACCTAATTGAAAATAAGATGATTTGAATTTCCAAATATTGAAAATTTTGACGAATTAAATTAACAGTCAACTAAGCTTTAAATCAATAAAATTTTTAACAAAGGAAAATTAAAAACACATAAAAATAAGAGTTAAAAACTAAAATTAAAATTTATTTAAAACATTTATTAAAAGTTTTTAGAAGCAAAATTTTTGATTAAAAATATTTGAAAAATTTACAAAATAGGTGAAAAAAATTAGCGAAATATGTTAAATAGGTGAAAAAAATTTTAAAAATGCAAAAGGTGACTTTGCATTCTTACAGTATTTGATTCCTGTAAGTAATTAATTATTTGAATTAAATAAACTTTTTCTATCAGTGTATAAATTTTATTTTGAATATTATTTTATAAATATTTCATAACTAGTATTTTAGAAATTTTATTTTATAAATATTTTGTAAATATTATTTTATAAACAGTATATTATTTTCTTATTTCTTTAATTTATAGACGTGAATGTCTTTATTTATAATATTATAAAGATCATAAATTATGAATATAATAATTCTTTCTTTCAAATGGGACAAATAAAAATCAAATCTTGTAAAATCCTTCTGTGTAAATAAAATTCTTATTTGCTTAAAAGCTTTTAAAGATATACTTAATATAGGAATTTTACTGGAAATAAAATTATTATTTGTCCTTAAAAATTACACGCGTAATTAAAACGTATTATTATAAATTTATGCTAAATTATAATTAAGGGAAATTTTAAGGAAGCGGTTATAAATTTTTTTTAAAGGCAGATGTGATATTGTGCAAAGAGGGTAGAAAAAAAAAGTTCTCCTCTCTCTTGTAAAAAGTTGACACAGTGTGTAATGATAATTTCTGCTCATTATACGTTATGTATATTATCTCATTTAAAATTTTCTCCTTTTTTTTATCTCCTAAGATGACTTTGATATGGCTATTTTACATAATCTTATGTAAACGACTAACTTTAGCTGCCTATGCATAAATCTAAAATTACAGCACACTTATTCGAAGATAATCGAAAAGAATAATTGTCATTTTTCTATATAGAAAAAACTTTCAAAATTAAAAAACCTACTAAAAAACTATTAACTATTAACTATCAACTAATAGTTTTATATGTAATTACTGAAAGTTACTCAAAAATTCTTTTAAAAGAATATTCTCATCACATTTTTTAATTTAATATATTTCCATTGAAAAATCAAAAAAGATAAAAAAAAAATCCTTTTCTTTTATTTTGTATATTTTTGTATACACATTTTAAAAAAATTGGCAAGATCCAAATTTACCCAAAAAAAAAAATTCACTTTTCAATGGAGAATATTAAATTATTGGGAAAATCATGAGATTCGTAAATATGATTCATAAAAAAATTTTAAGAGCAGCTTATGTTTTAATTGAAATATCTTCGTTAAAGGTAAAGCTGTTAGAATTCTTATTAAAACATGAAAATTTAATGGAAATAAAATCCAATGCATATTTATTCTCATGTTTTGTAATTCCCAGCATCCATTTTGCGCGCATCTTTGTATAAATTATCATCAACTCTCTGTATATATATATATATTCTTAATTTTATCATCTTTTTTTTTAATTCATAAAGACGAGAAATATATATTTAATTTTTAACTATTATCCTCATTTAAAAAATGTAAAACTCAAATCAATACACAGGTACTTACTATAATTCTTTGAAATATATATAGAAAAAAATTTAATCCAAGGAAATGAAATAATAAAATCTCTTTTTAAAACTATACGATTCAAAATTTATATTCATAAAACAGAATCTTTAAAAAGAGAATATTTTATGTGATATTCCATTATTTCTATTCAATTTTCAAGTGTATAAAAAAAAAATTTTTTTCTTTTATATTATACATTATAAGTGAACGAGATTAATCTAAAATTGAAATCTTTTTTTTTATTATATAAATTTAATAGTTCACGATCGATAAGCATTTCAAAGATGGCTAACGAAAATTTTAAGAATTAGAAATAATCACAAATTTTACGTCTCTCATTAAAAAAAAAAGAAAAAACATCGTTTAATAATCAATTGATTATTGTTGTAAATAAACACTAGTTTGAAAGAGTGTGATAAGTACTAATTAGAACGTCTGTATGGTATTCCTTTTTGCCAATCAATCCGAAAAAATCTTATTATAATTTATAAACAAATTTTTCAACTAAAAAAAAAACGCAAAATGAAATTCCTCAAATTCTCAAGTTTCTTCGCGTATTTATAACTTTTTTTTGCAATATTTTTTTTTATCTCTTTCAATAAATTCAATCTACACTGGAATATTCTAACAAAAATTTTTAAAAACTTTTCTTCTTGTAAAATAATTTTTTTTCATTTATTTAAACAGTAAAGTCACGAAATTCCAGAAAATGATTAAATAAAATTGTACGTGTTTTCAAAAGACTCAAAAAAAAAAAATTAAAAATAAATGAATTTTTAAAAAAAAATTTTTTGTTGAAGAAAAATATATTCAGCATTACTTGCAATTGAAACCTGAGTACTTGAGGATTTCCAAGGATTGATTTATCGCGTGATTAAATAAATTGTAAGTATAATGAATTTTATGACCTACGAGACATGAATTCGTAAATATAATTAGAAAATAAAAATATCAATAAAATGCGTGAAGTCAATTTCAATAAAAAAAACACTATATTTGCTTGCATTGCGAACAAAAAATTCCTACCTATTTTAATCACAAAACTTCCATCATAAAATTTATTTAGAAAAAGGAAGCTTGTAAATTAAAGCGTACCGAGTGATGAGAGATAATTTTCATAATTAACACAACTTTTCACTGTCATATTCTCTGTATTTTCAATTCGCTGAAATTTTACATAATTTAAAATCCTTCTCACAAATCAAGTTCTCAACCAAAGGAAATGAATTGCAATTAAGTACCAAAAATTACAAGTCTGCTGTAAATTATAATTAACATAATTAAAATTTATTTATACATTTTACAATATTTTCTATCATTATATAGTCAATGATTTATAAATTTATATTAGTTAATTTTTCATATTTTTAGAGATTTTAGTTAATCATTTTATAAATTTCGTTCTTTAAAAAAATATCATAAATTAATCAATTTTGTTAATCCTCAAAATACTTATTAAAACAGACAATAAAGGACCAAAAGAAATAATTAAATTATGCAAAATTTTAACAAATTCGCAGATACAACGATGAAAAAAAGGTACATTGTACATTATTATAAACAATATTATAAAAATTAACTCATACATGCAAGCAAATATCAAAATATATGTCACGCAAAAAGCGAAAGAAAAAATAAATGATGAAATAATTTCAATTTTAATTACTTTTTTTTTACCAAGAACCAAATCGTATCATTTTTACGAGAAATTTTCTATTGCGTATACTTGCTGTTTTATTACTAATATGATTATAAAAAGAAAACAAACTACGATGTAATTATTGATCTAATTAAGATATATTATAAATGAAATATATATGCACTAGACTAATCGAACTCTCAGTCTATTGCATATACGGTCCATATAGACTACGTAGGATCTGTTAATACTAATAAAATTAAAAAAAAAAAGATAAATGAAAAAGAGTATATATAAATATATATACATATTATATGTATATATAACACAATGGAATCTTGAATTAATTCTAAAAGAATTAAAGAGGTATTTGCGACTTAAAAATTTCTCAATATATGTCTACAATCATGTATTATAGACACGATGATTCAATTCAATAAAAATCTATGAAAAACAATTTTTTTTTCTAGACTTATTTAGAGAATAAAACCGCCTCCTAAAAAATTTTTTTAAAATCATCATATCTTTTTCGTGATTTCCAGACAAAATTTGGACTTTTTCCCTGACTTTAAAGAATATTCTGATTCATTCTAAAAATTATTATATACTCAAAAAATGTGCTTTCACAATTATTTACTAATTTCTTTAATTGTAAAATTATTAGAAAACATCAATAACTTTTTTTTTAAATGAATATTTAATCATTATTATTTTTCGATAGGATAATTGAGATTTTTCAAAATATCAAATTCGAATTTAAATATTTTTATTAAATAATAAAAATCTTCGTAGAAATTCAAATATCTTCCAAAGTTTTGGTAAAACTTTTTCGTAGGAATTCATATTTTAATTGAAATCTATAAAAGAATTGAAATTGTTTTTAAATAATTGAAATTTTTCAATGAATTTTATTATTTTTGTGAAAATAATTGATTGTTCGGGAAGAATTTTATAAAAATATTTTTAAATAATTAAATTCCAGTGAAAAATTATATTATTCGTGAAAATAATTAAATTATTGACATCGTTTATAATTTTTTTTCTTGTCCAACGTTAATTAATAAACAATCCTACAAAGTTTAGTCGTTTGCTGCAACAATTTTTCGGCACTATCAAAACAATTAATTTAAAAATATCGAAATGTAAAAATTTAAGTTTTTAATTTTCATTACTATCAGTAATTTATTGAAATATTATTCATAAAAAATATTTCGTTCATTTGAACGTTTAAAACTTGTAGATTTAATTTATAACACTAAAGATTTAAAAAAATGTTTCCACTAATTATTATCTTATTTGTAAAAATATTACAAAAAAAGAATGCGAAGAGGTGAGAAATAACTATAAAATTTTATTAATGATAACATTATCTTTTATACAAGAGAAATTACATTATACATATACTATAATATTACAATTTGAAGAAAGAGGAAAAAAAAGAAAAAATTTCTTATAATTCGAGTAAATAACTATATTAACCTCTTTGCAGATAAAGATTAAATTCAATCAGATTCAGAAGGTCATTAACATATTCATTTCAAATGAATAGGTTATCGACAATTTATCAAGACAAGTTTTCTCACTTACATAATAATAATAATAATTATAATCTTGTGAAATTATTCGATTCAATAAATGCTATCAATATTTCTCACTTAAAAAGACTATTGCTATTAATAACAAAAAATATATAATATAATATATTATAATATAGTAATATACAAAAAAAGGAATTTTTGTTCAATATACGCTAAATACATCGCATTTCATTAAAAAATACGCTCTGCGCGTTTTATAATGTGCCAAAAATGATTAAGAATCATTCTTCCCTAAGATTAGAGAGACATTTTTTGAGCAATTCAGCATGTGCCTGCAAAAAAAATACAATTACAATGAATGAGAAATAGAAATTATTTTTTCTTTTAAAGTTAAATTTCGAAAACTCACCTTCGCATGCTTAATTTCTAATTCTGTAAGTTCTATAAGACTCTTTTTAAAGGCAGCAACTCTTCTTGTTTTAAAGTCCGTTAACTCTATAAGAACAAAGGCAATTTATAAAACTGAACGAATTTTTTCGATAATATTCTCACATTACCTTCTTTTCCCTTTTCAGACATTTGCTCGAACTTTTCACAGGCTTCAGTTTGTGTTGTTTCGGCCTAAATAGAAAGAAAAAAAGTAAGTCAAGCAAAAGTAATTTTAACGAAATAAACACAAATTATTTTTACTTTACAATAATACAGATATGTGACGCTCCACGAGAAAAGGGACCTTATGAAAAGAGTAAATAAGGTCCCTTTTCTCGTGGAGCGTCACATATTTTTAATAACTAATTACAAAGTTATCGACATTCAGACAATAGTATATATATAAAGCAGGTATTTTTTTTAGTAATAAAGAGATAGAGAAGAAATAGATGGTCACTTTTTCTAAAAAATATTTTCTGATCCTTTTGTTTTAAAAAAAATCGATTTCTAATGAAATCAGTTTTCTAAAAAATGTTTTTCTAACAAGTTCTGATTTCTAAAACAAAAATTTCTATCTAGTTTTGTTTTCTAAAATTTATTTTACTACTTCTGGCAAATTTTACTTTTTTGAAATTTGTAAAACTCTAAAATTTTTCTAACTTAATTATTTATAATTATTTTTATTATTTTATTTATAATTACTTTTTAATTATTTTTACAAGTAATTTATCAGCAGAAATTGAATATTGTTAGAAAAGGAAATTTTAAAAAATGAACTTCATCAGAAAAAGAAATTTAAGAAATTCGACTTCATTAGAAAGAAAAGTTTTAGAAAATGAATTTTAGAAAAACTATGCCCCAGTCAAGGAAAAGATTTTAATATTTTGCTTGTTTCAACTAAAAGTCAAATAAATCATGCAATTTCCAACACCAACATTCTCAAAATATGTATCCTGCTAGACATTAAGAAAAGACATGAAGAAATTGTTAGAAATTTAATTTTTACAATATAGACATTACACATAAGGGAAATGAACACACACCTCTGCAACCTCCAGTGCCTTGAGGAGCAAAAAAGAATTTAAGCACCCATTAGAAGATTGTGTAACGTACATGTAATTAATTAGTAAGTTGAACACAATCTACGTGAATTTATGTGCTCTTTATCTTTTTATTTTAATTTCTTCAAATTTGTTTAAGACAAAAATTAATTATAATTTCAATTTATATAGATTAGAGATTAGATTAAGAGATTATTAAATAAAATTAATAATTATTATATTAATAATATTTAAAAATTATTAAACAGAATTTAAAGTTTAATAAGATGTTAACTTAATTTCGTTAATTATTTAGTATTAAAAATAAGCACTTGATTTTATTAATTAAAAAAATATAACAGACTTACGGCATGAACGTCTTTATTTTTAGCGCGAGCTTTTTCCAAAGCTCTATTTGCAGTTTCATAGGCATGTAAAGCTTTCAATCGTCGAAACAATAGTCTTTTCGCAGCAGCTGAATCTCTCATGTAATAACGTAAAGTATCAGATAATTTCAAATCTTCATCGGAAGCAACTCGACCATCGACTTTCTAATAAAACGAAAATTTACAATTAGTCATTATATTTAATTTTAAAAATTGTCTCCATATTGAAGAATTAAATCACCAATAACAAAATTATTAATAATAGTAACAATAACAATAATAAATATTTTTATAATATGAAATTCTATTCTTAATAAAGATTAGTTTTGATTAAATAAAAATAATATTAATCATCCACAAGTTTTAAACGTTCAAATTGGCGAAATTTTTTTTCTGCTTGAATACTTATAAAAATTACTTCCCAAAGAAAGAAAAATAATTAAATTTAAATATTTACTTAGTTAAGAATTCATTTTTTTAATATAAAAACTAATTTTTTTGTAAAAAATATAAATTAAAAGAAGTAAAAAAATATCGTCGTTTATTTGAACGTTTGAAATTTTAAGAACTTTATTAAAAACATTTTAATTCATTTCTGATTGTAGTAAAAAATTAAAAACCTAAATTAAACATTTAGAAACTTTATAACTAACTTTTTTGAAGTGTGACGCAAAATTATTGTAATAAAATTTTAATTTGAAGAAGAAATAAATAAATTCCCTTCATTTGAAGGTTTTAACTTTAGGATAATTAATATTAACGAATTGGAAATTATTCTTACTCGTATTTTCTCGAAAGTTTCGGCGACTTTAGTTAAAAACCTCTCGAGTTTTCCCGAGTCTGATGTGGCCAACTGAAGAAGATTTGTTGAAATTTTTATATAAGAATCTGCAACATCTTTGTGCTTTATTGTTTGTCGATCAGCGCGACTCGTTGCTTCTTTTAAATTATTATTATACTGATGAAGAAACGTCATTTCCTGATCAAAAAAATCATTCACGTCCTTAACAGTTGCTGACAAATAATACTCGTCCGTTGTTTTCGAAAGAGATTTCACTAAACCTCCAAACATTTCCATTTTATTTTTACCTAAAATAGAAATAATTATTGCAATTTTTTCCGAATTTTCCCATTAGCGGAACCTTGTTAAATTATTATTTGTTTGCAAGTAATTTATTTCCATTTTTTTGTTTTAATTATACATTTTCCTTAGAAATTAAATATTTTATTCAAGTTAAATGATCTGTTTTTCAATTCAGTGATTCAAGATTTAATATTCAAAATTCAAGTTTCAGGATTCAAGATTCAAGATTTTAATTTAATGTAATTTCACGATTGGAAATGAAATTACTAAATTCCAAACAGTAATTTAACAAAGTCTTATTAAAAATGTTTTTCTTTTGGAAAAAAATCTATTAAATTTTCACCTCTGACGCAAAGATCTTGATCATACTCTAAAAATACTCTTAAATTGTGATCGTTTCGGAAAACGGGATGGTGTGCCAGTCTTGTTAAAAACATTTCGTGCATCGCTACTGTTTTCTTGAATGTCGCTAAATATTCTCTGAACAATTTCGAATAATATTATAAATTATAAAAAAGGATAATTTTACAGAAAGAAGAATAAAAAAATTATTTCAAGTAGACTTACGCCTCTAATTCTTGTTTCATTTTAGAGAATTCTTCCTTTGTCATACTTCCTTCGCCCTCGCCAAGTTTTTGTAATTTTTCACGGGAAGCATCAAAATCCGGTCTAGGCGGACATGGAGGAATCTATAAAAATTTCGTCATTTATTATAAAAATTATTAATAATTGATTTATTTTTTTTAGTTAGAAAAACATAGATACTTTAATTAGTAGACTAGAAAAGAAATGTAGAAAAAGAATTCACAAAAAACTTATTTTAACTTCAGTTAAAAATTCGAAATAAAATTCAATTACGTACAATGTATCCTGCATATTCCTCGTTTTCCTCAAATCGGTCATGAAGCCAAACAAATTCCTCATGTTGTCTAACAACTAAAAATTCTTCCTTTTGAAATTCGGGTAAAGTTGTTTTCGTATGTACTGTAAATTTTACTTTATCTTTCTCACTAAGGGCATCTGATATATCAACTTGCAATGATTTATCAGACAAGTCAACTGGATCTGACGTATTTGCCTAAATAAAAATCATTGACAAATTAATTATTTTCTTTATCTAAATCTACAAATTTCTATACAGTATACTTTACATCATAAGCAAAATTTACATGAAATATCAAGTTTATCACAAAATTCTCTGAAAAATATATCAACTATTTTTACTCATAAAAGATTCATCAGATAACATTTAATTATTCACAGAAAAACAATATATTAATTACCTTCTTAGTAGGCCCATTGTTTAGAATATCATTAGTTTCACAAATACCCTCCTGTAACATTATTGTCAATTTTTATTAAACGATTTCAACTAAATATAAATTTATTGTACTTTGAAGATTTTTCCTTTTTTTCAATTATAGATTATCTATAATTATTTTAATAAGCAAAAATAACCGGCTGTCAAATAATGATAACAGGTTCCACCTACCATCATGGCGTCAAATTGCGTCCCGTCTGATACCGCAATGTATTTGTCACAAAACACTGATTGTCACTGAGATAAAAAATAATTAAGATAACTCAAGCACAGAAGACTCTTTCCTTTCTAATTACTTCAATTCTTTTTCAGCCTTGAAAATTGTTTTGCTCCTTCATTGCACTGTGATTTCTTTCATTTACGGAGGACTACGTGTCTATTTTTTAAAAGTCTGAAGTTTGCAAAGTTTACGAAACGATACCTCGAATTTTACCATACGCCATATTTTTATTATGGCTTATTTCCAGGAACCCAGGAACGAAACGCAATTTTCAAAACAAACAACTCTTGTTGTAGAGTTGACGCGAGCTGTGAAGCAGACGCTGTTTCCGAGAATGACCGCCAGGGTCGTAAAATTTACGCGCCAGGTCAAAAAAAAATTATTGAAAAAAATTGTTTACAAATATTTTGAAAAAAATTTGTTTCAAATTTATTTATAAAAAAAACTTTTGGGAACAAAGTTCAATTTTTCTTTAGAATTGTAGAATTTTTTTTGCTAATTGTTGCAAAATCAGTGGCGGATCCAGGGGGGGGGTCATGAACCCCCCCCTGAGGCGAAAAATTTACATAAAAAAAAGTCAGCTAATTATGGTCGTCACTCGCCGCATTTGTAGAGACCCCCCTGGAGTAAATTCTGGATCCGCCACTGTGCAAAATTTCGTACTCATGTATTATTATAATTAATAATAATTTTTAAATAATTAACTCACATGTTCAGAATTATTTTTCTAAAAGTCATATTAATAAACTTACATTTAACTCCTTTGTGCCATACAAACTCTCTCCTCCTTTTTCGGTCAAAATATCCATTCTTTTATCATGTAGAAAATCTCCTGCTTTGCGATGACCAACGTCTTCTTCGATAAAACACACTTTTTTAGTCAACACAAATACAAGCAAACAGATTCCGATAAAAAACATTACACGAATAAAAAAAAAACACTACGCGATTGAAAACAATTGATCGGACCGGTAGAAAATCTCCTGCTTTGCGATGACCAACGTCTTCTTCGATAAAACACACTTTTTTTGTCAACACAAATACAAGCAAACGGATTCCGATAAAAAACATTACACGAATAAAAAAAACACTACGCGATTGAAAAGAATTGACCAGACCGTTAAACTAGCTAATTTGTTACAAAACTAAATACACGATTGCCAACTTTTGGAGCACTTTGTCTAACGGTAACAATGATACGAAATTTTTTCCCAAATGAGATTTCTACTACTGAAATTATACGACATTTAGTGAGGAAGCTCTAGAATTACGATAATTAGTAAATAAATATTATTCATCTCGTTTAGAAACACTGTTAACAATGACTGAAAATCGCGAAATTGTTGAAGATAGTTGGTAGCCATCTTGGTTTTCTTCCCCTTTGTTGCAATGGCAAAGTGAAATGAAAAATTACTACGCCATTAATTGCATTGCAATCGTGATGTCTACGCTTATTTCTAACCACGGAACAATTAACGCAATTTCTAAATTACCGAAATTTATTTACACACGAATTAATAATACGGATTTGCAAGTGCAAGAATCCAAGCGGTAATTCACAGACCAACCTTCCGTGACGTCAGAAACTATACTGTGAACAGCGCCCCTATCGACCATGAACTTAGCCACTATCGACAACATCGATATATCGAAACAAAGGAATCGATTATTAAAAAATCAATAAATTAACCTATTAAATTTAAAAACAAAGAAAATTCTCCACGTTTTTATTTTAAACATTAAGAGAAATAGAATAATTAAAGTATTCTTAATATAGAAAATTGTCTTTTATTCTATAAAAAAATTTAGTAGTGTTCTAATTTGTGATTCATAAAATAGAGTTTGTTTTTTGTCCATTTCATCCATTTCAGCAACAAATGAAATGTGAAAGAAACTTTATATTCAAGGGGTTATAGAGCTTTCTCTCTCTTTTGTTGTGTATAAAAAAAAAGAAGAAAAAAAAGAAATTGCATTGTCGTTCATCGTGTTCAATTATTTCCTGCGATTTCTGATTGTGACTGCTTCATTTATTTTGTGACGACACTGAGATAAGTTTTTGTAAACAAATTAGGTTTTTAATTAGAATTAAAGCTGTACCTCAGCTATGTCGAAACCTCCTAAACGAAGAATTGAAGTTGTGGATCCATACGTCAAGCGAAAACCGTGAGTATTTTAGTTTTGTTTCTCAGACAAACAACTAAGAAAATAATTTCCTTCAAACACTCATTTCTCTTTTGAATCTAATTTATTATTTAAAAAATAATTTTGATCTCGTTGACCTTAAAGAACAGGGTTATAGATCTTTCGTCCTATATGTAGGTTAAAGGATGTTTGAATTTTTATGCTTTATTGTTTATATATTAATTTTGGTGGTCGATTGTACGTCTTTTTGTTATTCTGATATTAAACTGTGTAGTAGATTCTATCTAGATTAACCGGAAAATGATTTTGTGGATTTAGAACCGTTAATTTTTTATTTTTGCAAATATTGATATTAATTTTATTATTAATTGTGGAAAATAATTTGATTTTATTTCTTTTTATTTATATTCTGAAAATTGTAAATTTATAAAGAAATGATAAATCTATATTTGTAAATAGGTAAATGTAAATACGTTTTGATAAACCTAACCTTAAAAAAGACCACGCGGTTTTTTGTGCGTGAGACTTCTATAGGAAATGAAATAGCAAACGATTTAAAAAATTGATTTTTCCATTTTGATTAGTATATTTAATATTTTATTATTTATTTATACATTTTTTTAGCTGTGTTTTTATTGTTTATTTTTTGATTTTTCGCTAAAATTTAATTTCTTTTTAGTGATGGATCATTCGCAAGTACTTCACCTGCAATTGCAACACCTGCGAAATCGCAAATACAACTCAATCCATACACTGGATTGCCTTACACACCCCGTTATCATGAATTCTACAAGAAACGAATTACTCTACCTGTATTTGAATATCGAACGGATTTTATGCGACTCTTGGCACAAGATCAATGTATTGTTCTCGTAGGTGAAACTGGCTCTGGAAAAACGACACAAATTCCACAATGGTGTGTAGAATATTCGAAAAGTATAGGAAGCAAGGGTGTCGCTTGTACTCAACCTCGTCGAGTAGCTGCTATGAGTGTGGCGCAAAGAGTTTCGGAAGAAATGGATGTTGCTCTAGGACAGGAAGTGGGTTACAGTATTCGTTTCGAGGATTGCAGTTCAGCGAAAACAATATTAAAATACATGACAGACGGTATGCTTTTGCGTGAGGGTATGTCGGATCCAATGCTCGACGCTTATCAAGTGATTTTACTTGACGAAGCTCACGAAAGAACATTGGCCACCGATTTATTGATGGGTGTTTTAAAAGAAGTTATCAAGCAAAGAAAAGATCTTAAATTAGTTATTATGAGTGCAACATTAGACGCTGGTAAATTTCAACAATATTTCGATAATGCACCATTAATGAACGTTCCTGGACGAACTCATCCTGTCGAGATATTTTATACACCCGAGCCGGAAAGAGATTATTTGGAAGCCGCTATAAGAACAGTAATTCAAATTCACATGTGCGAAGAGGTTGCGGGCGATTTACTTTTATTTTTAACTGGCCAAGAGGAAATTGAAGAGGCTTGCAAGAGAATTAAACGGGAAATGGATAATTTAGGACCGGAAGTTGGTGAACTTAAATGTATACCATTGTATTCGACATTGCCACCGAATTTACAGCAGAGAATTTTCGAACCGGCCCCACCGACAAAGCCAAATGGTGCAATTGGTCGTAAAGTTGTTGTATCGACAAATATTGCCGAGACGTCTTTGACCATTGACGGTGTTGTTTTTGTCATTGATCCTGGTTTTGCGAAACAAAAGGTATACAATCCTAGAATAAGAGTTGAATCGTTGTTGGTTTCACCGATAAGTAAAGCCTCAGCACAACAACGAGCTGGACGTGCCGGGCGAACTCGTCCTGGAAAATGCTTCCGACTTTACACCGAGAAGGCATATAAAAATGAAATGCAAGATAATACTTACCCGGAAATTTTACGCTCGAATCTTGGTAGCGTTGTGTTGCAATTAAAGAAGCTCGGAATTGATGATTTAGTAAGTAACATTTAATTTCTCGTATTTTTTAATTTTATGACTAAGAAAAAGAATAAGAAAATAGTTAAATTAACTTCTTTATAATTAATAAAGTTAAAACAAAGATAATTATGCTTAGAAGACATGCTAATAAATAAATGCTAATTTTTAGGTACATTTTGATTTCATGGATCCCCCGGCACCGGAAACTTTAATGAGAGCCTTAGAATTATTAAATTATCTAGCTGCTCTTGACGACGATGGAAATTTGACAGATTTAGGAGCAGTTATGGCCGAATTTCCATTGGATCCTCAACTCGCAAAAATGTTAATTGCTTCTTGTAATCACAACTGTAGTAATGAAATTCTCAGCATAACGGCTATGTTATCAGGTAAAATTTTTAATAATGATTAATTCAGGTATGGAAATTTTATTAATAATTTTAATATAAAATCTATTTTTAACGAAAATAGTGAACACTGATAATTTAATTTATTAGCGAATAAATCGCTTTACTGCAGGGATCACAGACTATCACCTTTTCACCTTCTTTTTTAAAATTTTATCACCTTTTTTGTAAATTTTTCAAATACTTTTAATCAAAAATTTAGTTTCTAGAAATTTTTAATTAATTTATACTTTAACAAATCTTAACTTTAATGATTTTTAATTTTAATTTGTTAAAACTTTCATTGATTAAAATCTTAGTTAACTGTGAATTTAATTCACCTATTTAATCAAAAAAAGTATTGTGATCCTCGTCATTTTTTATCAACAATTTTTTGGTTAATTTTATCCAAGCGAATTAATATTTCGAATTATTTTTTTAATTATTATTAAGGAAATGTATTAGTTTTATTAAGTAACTTCAAGTGTAAGGTAACTTGGTGATTTATTGATGATTGATATGCTATTAGTCCCGCAGTGCTTTGTGAGACCAAATGAGGCTAAGAAACTTGCCGATGAAGCTAAAATGCGTTTCGCACACATTGATGGTGATCATCTTACACTTCTGAATGTTTACCACGCTTTTAAACAAAGTAAGTTTATTTTATTAAAAAAACAAATTTTTTTATAACACTTTTTAAGGAATTAAAATGAAAATTAAATTATTATTTAAATTTATTTAAAATTAAATTAATTAAACTTCTAATTTTTTCAGGAATAATTTATTTTATTTTTATTACTACATTTTGTAAATAAAAACCATTTTTCTTTTTATAGATATGGAAGATCCCCAATGGTGTTATGATAATTTCGTCAATTACCGATCATTGAAAAGCGGCGATAATGTGAGACAACAATTGAGCAGAATTATGGACAGATTTCAATTGAAACGAACATCTACTGACTTTACCTCCAAAGATTATTACATTAATATCAGGAAAGCATTGGTCAATGGTTTCTTCATGCAGGTATGTTTCTACACTAATTTTCTCCTCCATAATTCTACATTCAGTCGATTTTTAATTTTTTGCTGGAAAAATAAATTCTCTAATTCTAATATTCAATTTTAATTTAATATTTAATTTGATAATCAATTTAACAATAATAGAAATTTCTTCAAACAGGTGGCACATTTAGAAAGAAATGGACACTATCTCACAATAAAAGATAATCAAGTTGTACAACTACATCCAAGCAGTTGTCTGGACCACAAACCAGAGTGGGTTATTTATAATGAATTTGTTTTAACTACAAAAAATTACATCCGAACAGTCACTGACATCAAACGTAAGAATCTATCACTTATTTTAATAACAAAAAAAAATATTTTATAAAGAAAATAATTTTTCCTTTAATTTTTAGCTGATTGGCTGTTGAAGATTGCACCACAGTATTATGATTTACAAAATTTCCCTCAATGTGAAGCAAAGAGACAATTGGAAGTAATTCAAAGTAGAATTGAATCGAAACAATTTCAAGAAGGCTTCTAACCCTTACAATTGATAGATCAGTATAAAAGTCTTTTGAAAAATTGGTTTAAGTACCTTCTAAATACTTAACATTATTTCAAAAATTATAATAGTTCAGCACACTTTTATTAGTGAGTCTTCATTTGTGACAAAAGAAAAAGAAAGAAAAAAATGACCATGCAACAGAAAAATTCCTTTATTTTAAAGAAGAAAAGAAGTCATTTAAATACGTAAAAAAATACAGTTCATCAATTGCTGAATATCGTGAATAGTAATTTAAAATTAGTTTTTAACATTAATTAAACATTTGATTGAGAATTATTCAAGTAAATCTCACTAAAGAAAGATGCATTGCTATTATTTTGCAGTTGAACACATTCTATTTGTACTTTATTTATAAAAAAACGTTTTTTTTTTACTAAAAAAAAAATATGCGAGTATAAAAAAAAGTGAGAACTGAATAATAATCTTTTTATCATCTAAGTTAGAATGCCTTGAATAGTAGTTGAAATTCAAATTAGCACCATAGATGTAATAGGATCATTTTGTACTGCGCATTAAATAGTTACTGACATGTCAAAAAATATTGATTAAAAAAAAAGATGTATACTTTTAAGGCGTTTTTGTGACTAATCAACATTGTAGTTTTTCTGTACTGCTTTTTTGTTTAAAATAATTCAAGTAAGCTTTCAATAATCAATGGTTATTTGAAAAGAGAAAATTTAACGATTTCTCAATGTCATAATAGTACAATTTTTTTCACACTTAATTCTTTTTTAAATGACATGCATTCTGTTCATAAACAAATTTCGCAAATTGATCAAAAAAAAAATGTGTCTCAATTTTTAAAAACGAGGAGAGGGAACCAATTTTTTTTTATGGAAAAAATCTTGTTAATGCCTGCTTTATAATTATAAATTCGTGAAGAATTTTTGGATAGAATTTCAATTTTGTATATATTTGTAAGGGGTATTGATAATAAAAACAAAAAAAAACAAAAATGTAATTTGAACAAATATCTTGAACATTGTGAATGTGTATTGTCTTAATTCATTCCAATAAACTAATTACAAAGCACTTGGATTTTTTTATTGTATTTTTTAAGAATTATGATGAAAATTATATTTTTTAAATTAAAAATAAATAAAAAAACAAACACTGTTCTACATTATTTTCACTACAAATAATTCTGGTTAACAACAAAAATACATTTAATAAAAGTAAATAAAGATTCATAGAAATTTTCGTTATAAAAAATACTCTTGAAATGAAAATGTACAAATGCATTTATTGTCTTAAATGGAGAGAAATAGATTCGTTTTCGTAGGGAAAAAAAATTTGTTTATATATTTACATTTCTAATTGTATAAATAGCTTCATTATCGGAACCAAACAATAATGTTGATTTATTAATGTCAATGCTGTTTATAGGTTTGTGAACACTAGCGCAGACTGTAACTTTTCCTTTACCGCCGAAAGAATTCAACCAATGAGCGTCTGCATTATTATCTGTAAAAATAATTTTAAATATTATTTGAACAAATTAATATTATTGAAAGTAGTAAAAATTAAAAATTTAATCTATTTTGAAAAAAAAGAATACCAAATTTGATTTTCGATTGACTAGCATTATTCCAGTGCCAAAGTTCTCCACTTGTGGAGCATGTGAAAAGATTATCTGGTCTATCTGGATGGAATAAAATTTCAGTAACAGCTTTTGCGTGTGCATTTAATTGGGAAACTGGATAAGTGTTTCGTCGAAGATCCCAGACAGTTAAACTTCCATCACCTCCGCCAGCAACAACAATGTGTCTTTGTGTTGGATGATGAGCGACACTAGTGACTTCGGTCTGAAAATAAATTTGGCGAAATTTTAATTTCAGTTTCATTTTTGCAATTTTTTCTACATTATAAAAATTATTATTTTATTCTGCGTGTTTCGAATTAATATTCATACCGTAACTTGATCGGAAAGCATAAATGGAACGGGTCTGTCTTGATAGTTTCTTAGATCCCAAATTTTCATATGACCCCGAATATTTCCTGTTAGAATTTCGTTGTGTTTCAAAAAATCAATGCAGCATATTGAACAACTTTCAGCAGTATCTTCAAAAAAGAAAATCGTAATTTTAATAATGTTTAAAAAAAAGAAAAATAGGATTGTTTTTTTAAACTCACCAATTGATCGCACAATTTCTTTCTGATGAGCTGTAAGTAAATTTATTCTTCCGTCCTCTCCCACGGAAACAATATCTTGTTCAAAGGTAGAAAAACCAGTGCAGCAGGCATTTTCGCCAGTCCTAAAAAATTAACTTCTATTTTAAAATTTATATATTTACTGTTCATTTTCAAAAATTTGTCGCAAGAATTCAACTATTCGATTTCCATAAATAATAAAATTCTTTGCGAGAAATCAATTATTTTCAATACAATTTTAATAACATTTCTCCAAAGAATTAAATTATTTTTAAAAATTTTGATAAAATCCTTCAAAGGAATTAAATTTTGTTGATAAATAATTCGCAAAAATTAAATGATTTTCAATACATTAATTTTAAAATTTCCAAAGATTTAAAAAGAAAAAAAAACAATCAACAACTAATTTAAAATTACTCAATTTCTGCTAAATTATTGAATTAAATGAAATCAAGACTCACATATAGTAGTGAATATTTTTCCACGTAATATGCTCCTTAAATTTGGAATACGGATTTTCTAGAACCTGGAGGACTTTTACTGATCCATCAGACGACGATACAACAAAAAAGTCTTTATTTATAAACTGAAAATAATTAATTTGAGATTAATTGCTATTTCCATTTTACGATCTAACTTATTTACCTTTATTTCTGTAACATCTCCATAACACGGATCAGACGTTACAACTACTGGATCTGATTCCTCATCTTCATTAGTTTGTAGAGTCCATAATGTTATTTTATTTACCTGCAAAATAATTGTTGAAACAATTGTATATTCAAGTCTATTATATTAGTTATTATTAAAGACTGATGTAATTGTTTACAGCACTTTTTTATAATATAAAGAAGAAGGAATTTTTATTAACTTACAGGATTATCCCAACTGCCAGTTAAAAATGTTTTCGTATCCGCAAAAGGTTCATTTTGCCACCTAATTTTAGAAATTTTTTCTGAAACGAATTTTCCCTGTACATGTTGCTCACTTGTTTCATTCGTCATATTTTAAGATTAATAAATTAACCGAGTTATGAAATTTATCTTAAAAATAGTTTCGAGTGTGTATAAAAAAATAGTAATTTCACAGATTTAGTATTATTTGGTAATTAGTAAAATAAACGGTAAAAAATTGACTAAAACTGAGACATTTTCTAATATAGTCAAACAAAATACTTTTTAGGTTAATTTGTATACACTTTGAGTACTTGAATTTGCCGCGAGGGTTCGCGACTATCGACATTAAGGCGCATGCGTCAGGAGCGACCAATAGAAATTCCCGAATTTTCCATATGTTTGAACTTGTGCTCGCGGAACACAGTGGAATCGGAATTGTAGCCGAGAGTGTCAGTAATTAATAGTGTTGAATTAATCTTAGTGGAACTTTTTAATCTAAAAAATCTGAAGCAAATTAAGTATCGAATATAAAAATATAGAAGTTTCTCAAGGTGAATAACATAAAGGTAAGATTTGCAATGTAATAATAGTTTTATTTCTTACTCATTTAATTTTGTGTTTCAACTTAACCTCAAAATTTCAAATCGCAGAACGGAAGTAAAACATAAAATTTTTGTTCTGACGTCATTTCCCAAAGAACACGAAATGAGTATAAATGTTTATTAAAAGCATGGAATATTAATTTAATTCCATATAAATAAAATATGTATACATAATTTAAGCATAATTTTAGTAATTTGGTAGAAAGAAAAGTAAAGTTTTACAAAATATTTGCAAATTAACGGTTTTCCCACACATATGTACGACCAATCAGAACGCAGGAATAATATTCCGCTCCGATCCTTGTTGTTCCGTTCATTCCCTTTTGTTGTTGTTGAAAAACATTTCTACAAGTGCCAAGACCGTTAAAATGTAGTGAATTTTTTCTTCAAAATTGATTAATTAGTCTTATTTTTATCAAAATTTGTTATTTTAATTGATACTCTAGTAGTGGGTAATCATTTTTTATGAAAATATTGTCATGGAACTTTTAAATTTTGACAAAAGGTGACAAAGTTACGGTTTGCTAACAAAGAATGTCAACGGGGAGTATTTACTCCTAAAACTTTGTTATTTTGTTAATTATCTGAAGATTTTGCAAATAATCAATTGAATTTATGGTCCAATCTTCTCTTATCTAACATGCCTAACATTTTACTAACATTTATGGCATTTACCTAAGATTTTAGGTTATGTTTTTTGGAAAAATTGTCGCATGCTGTTTGTACACATTATTGTGGAGTTAATGTATTTGCAACATTGTATATTTTCAAAATAGCGTCGTATAGATATTTATTTAAACAATATTTTTGTCAAGTCATTTATATTTTATAATTTTACAGGTATTTTTTCCTTGACGGATACTTGCAAATGGAAAAAACAGTGGTTACAGTGAAATCTTATACTTCGACGAAAAAATTTTGCATTTATGGTAAATTTGATTTGCAATTTGCCCCGTTTTCAAAAAAGGATAATAGTGAACAAAGATAAAATTTTTCGAACAAAAAGGAGTTGGAAAAGTGATCAAGAGGAAATTTAACAATCAAAAGATGATGTCAACATTCCGGAACAGTAAAAACAGGATCTTCGACCGGTGAGTCCCTCCTGCTTCCATTAAAAAAAAAATTAATTTCCTCTTAATTAAATAATTATATTAATTAATTAATATAATTATTAATTAAAATTAATTCTTAAATTAATTTTAAAACTTAAAATAAATCTAAATTTCGCTTTAATAGTTTTGACAATATTGGACTTTACAAAAAAAGCATTCTTTATAACAAGATTGGTTTATTTAACACAAATATGGTTTACATAATTTTTACATTTTTCATATTCAAAATGTTTATCATTAAGAAAACGTCAACTATATTTAGAAAATTAACTTTAATAATTTATGATTTAAATACATTTTTTTTTATTTTTTAAACGTTATCACTGATAAAAAAAAATATCGATCTTAGTATTATTAGAAACAAAAAGCTCTTTGTTCAACAATTATTCATATTTATATAGAATATTTTCATATAATTCGAAGAAAAGTTTGTAACATTAGATTCAGTCGTGACAATGAGTCTTCTCAGGCGTCAACAATTTTTTTTTTTTTTATTAAAAAAATACATCCCATTTATTAACTATGCTTAATTTCTAATTTTTTTTACACTATATGCATATATAAATTTCAAAAAGCATTGTTTTTTATATTAATGCCTCTATTTTTATTATAATATCTTATATAAGCCTAAAAACTAAATCACACATAATTAATTGTTTTTAAACATTAGGAATATACTTAGAAACGAATATTAAATTAGAATACAGAATTCTTCTTTTTTTTTATCTACATTTTAATCTACATTCAGAGGCTTTTTTTTAAAGAAAAATTCGATTATTTATTTGTCGTCATACTGGTTTTTAAATTTTATCAGAATAATTCAGGAAATTAGATTCTAGTTTTTTCTTTTATTAAGAAAAATCTGAGAAATTGTTCCGTGTATTTGGTTAGGCAAGATAAATTTTTCATGTTGTTTTCTTTCCTCTTCTAATACTGGCGATCATCAGATATTTAAAATACTGATTTGTCATTCATTGTTTTTCGTCCATCAGAAGTTAATTTATTCGCTAATTTAAGAGCTCTATATTGTTTATGAAGACGTTGTTTGCAAAATTGGTAAAATTCGATTTCACGAGTAAAATTTCTTCTTACTAATTCCTTGACTTCTTCGCTCACTGGTGGCTTAAATGAATTTCTGTTGATTCTTGTAAAGGAATTTATTTGATCTGAAATCAATTCCTTATGATAATCAATTTTCCATAATATTTCTGTGTAAAAATCTTTGTGAAAAATTATCTTTCTGAGTTTAATTATTTCTCGATATTAAATTGTCATAGATATTAATATTACTGGTTTTTTAATACTTTTTAAAATTTTTTAATTAATTTAAAAAAAAATTGTTTTGTAATTTATTTACCTCTATAAACTTCGGTAGCACCTTCGAAGAATAATGGAATATAATTTTCTAAAACTGCCAATGTGGTATTTAAATCCTCCAGAACTCCAACTACTGCGTACTGTTTTTCCAGAGAGGTTTTTGCTCTTTCAAGTGCTCCCACAGTGTTAAATGGCCTTTAAAAATACATAAATAATTATATTCATGGAGAATTATTTTTTTTTATAGATAAAAACGTATTTTTTTCTTTTTTTTTTAGAATAATTTTTATGCTAACGGAAAATTTACTCTGCTCGGGCACAAATTTTTTGTTTTTTGACTGATTAAATAGAATTAATGGATTATTATTTTTTATTAAATAATTGAATTAATAATAATTGCAGTAAATTTAATTAAATAATTTAATTAATAAATGTAATTAATTTAATAAAATAAATAATTAGTATAAAGAGAAAAATAGTTACTTTATAAAAAAATTAACTCACATGCACTTATCGCTGTGGCCGCAAAAGAAAAGTGATTGCCTTCGGTGATCGCCGATTCCCTCGTGAATCTCGCCTTCGAGATATTTACACTCGCGATCGTCATTTAATACACAGGATTCAAAATCCTTTCTTAGCCATGCCGGATCGGGTAGAGGAATATCCGGAAAGAATTGCTTTCTCTCGACATAGTACCAGGGTGCTCTCACGTAATAGTACCATGATATCACTCGTTCCACCGGATCTCGTACCATATTCACATAAATCGGTTCAGGTAGATTAAATCTGTAAAATCATATTTTTCCATCTTAGATTTTGAATTTTAAAAAAAGAACAAAAATTTTAGGGGATAAATTAAAATACAAAATTATATTTTCAGACTACTGAACAAAATTTATTTACTTCTGAGAATTAATTTGTTAATTGGATTAAATACATCAAATAAATATTTTTTAGTATCAAATTTTTATTTTAGTCAAATTTTATTTGACTTGAAAAAATAAATTGAGAGATTAGAGAAAATTTGGCCAGTAATTAAAATTGTTATAGTGGAATTTCACTATTTTATTTAGATTAATTATCTATTTCTAAAGAAGAGAAAAGTGTTTCATTAATTTTTATACTGAAAAATTCTATCAATTTTTATTATAATTGTGAACAAAAATTTTTGTAAGAAAAAAATGAAATGAACGAAATATTAAATAAATTATTATTTTTATTTGAAATATTAAATAAATTATTATTTAATATTAAATATTTCGTTTATTTCATTTTATTTACTAAATTTTTAGTGAAAAATTACAAACAATTGGAAGAAATTTTTAGTATAAAAATTAGTGAACTACTTTTTACTGCTTTAGAATTAAAAAGTGAATTTAAATAAAAATTGATTGATTCAAGTATAATTATTAATTTGCTAATAAATTATTCCTTACGAATTAAATAATTTTCTTGATAAAATTTTAGTTAAAATTTACAAAAAAAAAAATTGGAAGAAATCTTTACTGCACAAATTAGGGAACGTTTAATTATTTATTTATTTATTTATTTATTAGATACATTTCATTTATTTATTATTATGAATTATTTTAAACAAAAATTGATCATTTAAATTAAATAAATTTTTTTCAAGGTTAAAAATTGTAGAAAAAATAACTTACTCGGTGAAATTTGTAAAACACACGTGTTTTACATATACGGATGGTTCCAAAAAATTGCTGATCATTCTTGCAAGTTGCAACTATAAAAGACAAAAGAATTATTTATCGAATTTTACATTTCAGTTTTAATCAATTTTTACTGATTTATTATTATTATTTATTACAATTTTATTATTTACTTAACTTTTATTTAACTCAAATAAATTATATTCGATTCAAAGAAAATTTTATTTCTCTGCGAGTATAATATAAATATAAATAAAAAATTAATTAACTTAACAATAAAAAATATAACTATTAAATTGAGCGAATTTCCCGTTTCAATTAAATTTGATTTAGTTGATAGAGAATTTTTTTTCGCTCATTTCGAAAAAAATGCAGCTAAGTATTGGAAGAATTTTTTGCAAAATTTATTTCGTGATACTAATATAAATTAAATCCGTACAAGTGGCAATGTTTGATTTACGAGCAGGAATATATCATATCGAATGTAAAACTGTAATTTTCTAAAGTGTCAAACCGTTAATGTCATCCTGATTTTACAGCCTTCATAATAATTTTGTCATAATACCGGTTTTTTTCTCTCTCTTTTAATGTTTTAAAAATATCAATTAAATTTCCTCTAGCACGACATAAATATGATTTAACATTTTTATTATAGTCTACTTTTTTATTAGTAATTATTATTGGAAAATAATTAGTAATAATTAATAATGCAAAAAGGAATAATAATAGTAGAAATAAAAATAATAATAAGAATAATAATATAAGAAAAATAATAATAATAAAAATAGAAGCAATAATAATTTATTATTATTTTTAACTTCTTTTCTCTTATCGTAATAACATTTCGAAAACAAATTTATAATGGTTTCGTATTTTTTTTTAAGAAAACTTAAAAAAAACTCTACTTTTGTAGATATTTTTTTTATTATTGAAAAAGATAGAAATTTGCATTTAAATTGATGAAAAAACATCGCTTTTAGAATTTTATATAAAACTTATAACGGTTGACTTACTTTTCAATGTTGTATACTTATATGGATTACAAATGTGATATTTAATCAAAAAATGGCAGAATAGTAAAATAGAAAAGAAGATACGTTTAGTGAATACCATAATTACCTGCTCGATTGGAGCAAGACGTATCGTTTCGACCCTTTGAATTCTGTCTTTATTGAAAGAAAATCCATTTCTCAATGATAGTCTTCTCATAAGTTCCATAAATGTTTGGGAACCAACTTTTGGCACACGATTAAAAAATAGTACATTCTTCTTTGCTCTCTTTGTGTTGTTTAATGCACTAATATCCAAGTATTCATTTCTTCTGATCTGTAAAAAGAAAGAAACCTTTTTTTATCAAATTTTGAATTTTTGAATAGAACAAATTTTTATTAACTAATTATTACATTAATTAAAGGAATTATATACTTTGGAAAAAAATTTATTTGATTAAGAACCGATTACTTGTTTATATCAAATAAATATTTACTTGAATCAAATAATTTTTATTTAATTATAAATGCAATTTATTTGATTCCAAAAAATATTTATTTAGACAAGTAATTGTTTATTTGATTCAAATAATTTTTTTTAAGTGTAATTAATTGTTTAAGAATTTTAATTAAAAATTTTGAAGATTATCAATAATAATTATTATTTAATAATTATTGTTTAAACCACTCGGACGTTAAAGAATATATTATTATTAAAGATTATCGTTTCCTAAAAAATTTTAATAATAATTCAAAAAAATTTAATATTTAAAGAAAAATAATGTAATTATTGTTTGCAGTTATTTTTGGAGAATTCTATTATTTTGACAATTCGTAATTAAAATTTTTCAAAATTTTATTTTTAAAAATTACAATGAAATACTTTAAAACATAAATTATTTTTAATTATTACAAAATTACAATTATTTAAAAAAAATTGTTACAAATTATTTAAAAATTTCTTTTTCTAAAGAAGATTTCAAGAAATATGCAAATTGTTTACGTGTGTATATGTATATTATTTTTATCTTCTCTTAATCTTGAAAAATGTTTATAAAATGATACAATCTCTTTGTCTCGGATAAAAGTGTAACCTTTTTAAAATTTTGAACCATGACATGATTAACGTAAATATGAAAATACAACGGTTTTTGTTTAAAAAGTTGTAAAAGAGTGGTTTGGCCACTTTGAACGTGACACAGTGCACCATGTAAGGATGCATGATAAGAATCTTCAAGTGACATGTTTACCCAGAGTTCATGGACGCAGAACGTTATTAGAATTTTAATTTAAAATAATTTACTAAATAAAAACGAATTTTAATTTTTCTCGTTGTAATTTGGCACAGAATTCTATGAATTTCTTTAATATCTGATTAAACAAATATTTAACAAGTTGAGATATCAAATTCTTTATTATTTTCAACTATTAATCTATTTCAGTTGTACAAATATACATGTAAAAACAATTTTTTCAAAATTAAATATTCAATCGTTAAGCAAATAATGGATTAGAATTTCAAATTAAAAATATTAAAATTAGAAATTACATTAAATAAATTTTTAATAAATTCAGCAATATTTTCTAAATTATTCATTGATTGGAAAAAGAAATATTGAATACAAAATTTGTATTTTTATTAAAATTTTTATTGTAGGTAAATAGTTTAATGTTTATTTTGACAGAATTTTTCATTAACATTTAAATAATAAAGTCGTAAATTGGCGAAATGAGAAAATGAATTATTCGTCACAGTTGTAATATTATTACATTGTAAATATAAATTTTTTAATTTCGAAAATAATTGAAAATCGTTTTGCCTCAATAATTTAATATTATTGCCCATTAATTTCAAACTTTCCAAATTAGTCAAATTTTTCAATTGAGGAATTGCTTCTAATTTATTATTATTGAGATTCAATTTTTTTAGATTTTGATTTGATTCAATAACGGTTCCATCGAATTGTGTTATTTCATTATTCGATAAATTTAAATCTTCAAGATTCGATAGAGGATGAAATGAAGCGTAAATTATTGTTTTTAAATAATTTCCTTGAAGATCGAGATTTTTTAAATTGCCAATATTACTGAAACATTGGAATTCCAAACTGCGAATATTATTAAAAGCTAGACTCAATGTTCTTAGATTGAACAAATTTTGAAAATTTTCCCTTTTCAAATTTTCAATTTTATTATAATTCATCACGAGTACTGTTAAATTTGATTCGTTTTCCATTTTTGGAATTTCAATTAAATTGTTGTTGTTTAAATTAAGAAATATCAATTTATCGGCATTGATGATGGTGAATTTATCCAGACTGTTGTTTCCTAAAAATAATGTTTCGAGTTTTGGAGAAAAAATTTCGGCGGTAAAATTAATTTCTTTTTCTTCTTTTTTGTAGGCGTTTTCCAGTAATAATATTTTTAATTCTCGTAATTCTGATACGAAGTTTATATTTTTTTCTATTAATTCATTATTTTCAAGATTTAATAAAATTAGTTTTGGAAGATTACTGAAGGCGGAATTTGTAATTTTTTTGATTTGCTTATTTTTTATGGTTAGACATTTTGTTTCCGGTGTGATTCCCTGATTTATTTCAATAATTGGTCTTGTAATTTCTTTTGAAATCTCTTCATTTTCGGTAATTGTTGTTGACGATGGGCAAAAATTAAAATACAAACTTCTAATTAATAAGTTTCTCTCATTCATTATCACACTGTTTATTTCTCTTATTGAAACCAAAAAGTGGACAAAAAGTCCAAAATATATGCAGTTCATTTTGTCTTATTCTTCAGTCCTAGAAAAATTTATTATTGTTAGTATTTTAAACGGTTTACAAATTTTATTTTTTTCTTAGTTTTAAACAAATTTCTGATTTGTGGAGTAAATTTATTCACTTTCAGACAATTCGGTCGTTAAATTTTAATTTACATAATTTTTGTTCAGTTAAATTTATTTAATTTATTTATTTTTGAACAATAATAAAATAATTATTAAAAAATAAAAAAATAAAGTCAATTAAATTTTTTTTTATTTACGTATTTTTTGTTAGTAAATTAGTTATAATTTAATTTTTAAAATAAGTTATTTTTATTTACTTAATTAGTTACATTGAAAAAAATTATTTGATTCAAATAACCGATTAATCAAATAATTTTTATTTAAATCAAATAAATTGTATTTGAACCAATAAATTCAGTATTCAAATAAAATAAATTTTTTCAGTGGATTTCCAGTTACTTAATTAATTAATTTTAGTTAATTCGTTATTTTTAATTCCTTAATAAGTTATTTCTTTAAGCAGTTAGTTAATTAGTTGGTTAATTAGTTAGTTTCTTAATTATTTAAACTTAATTTCTTTTTAGTTACCTATTTTCAATCACTTGAGTTTTAACTCGAAATAATTCTGTCCTAAATTCCACCGGAATTTTTTTCTACAATTGATTTTCAAATAGTTTAGAAAAGAGAAAAAAAATACAAATAATGAGAATGTAAATTCACAGAATAGTTTTGTTTCAACCTTTTATCAAGAAGATACCACTAATAAATTTCGATCAAGTTCTGCTTTATATTTACTTTCACAAAATATGTTTAAAATTCGTTCTGGGAATGATGACAATGTATTTACTTTTGTTACTGTATTGTAAATTTATGAAATCGTATTTAAATCTTTTTATTGTTATGTTCACAACATTATCGTTCTTTTATACTTTTTTTTTTATTGATTTTTAAAGATAGTATTCTGTGTTTTACAATTTTGATTAGCTAAACAGTAGAAAATTTTTTTAAAATAAAATAATTTCTTTTCCTAATAAAATAATAATTGTTTTTAATATAAATAGAAAAATGGTATGTAATTACTTAATAATTAATTAGATTTTCAATTAATTAAATGATTTTTGCTTCAAATACTGAAATTATTGGTTCAAATTACAATTTAATTAATTTAAATAAAGATTATCTGATACAATAAATATTGGGTAATATTACGAATATTACTAATTACTAATAATATTATTACAAATAATAAATAAATGCAAATAATAAACTGTAAAATTTTATAGTAAGAAGTCAGTCACTGATTCAAATAGTAATATTTTAGTTTTACTTTGAGGAGAGTTTATCCATCTCAATTCGTTTGGTTTGAATAATGTTTTGAACTTTTGTTAAATATGAGCCACACTTGTTTATTTATTATTGTTTATTTTTCCATTTTTATTTAGAAAAATAATAACAGCAGTTCATTTATATTGTGGATGTATCATTCCTCTGGAAGATGTAATTCCTCGCGAGCAATACATAAAGTCTTCGGCACGATTCTTCTCTCAAATAGAATAAAATCTAAATAATGTTTTCAATTTTGCAAATTACGTTGAGAGGAAGTAACGATAATGGTTTTAAAATGTGATTACACTGCGGTAATAGGTTTTATATTCTTTGATGCGTGCAGAGGAGCCTAAACTGGCAAATAATATACACATATAAAAGATAAACATACCTCGCACACGAGATTTTATGGTGCATATTGTCTGCGGAAATTTCACTTTTAGTGACTAGAATTCTGTGTTATTTCTCTCAAAAAATTCCTAATTTAGTATTCTTTAATTTTTTTTTCTTTGCTCTTTTGCTCTAGTAACTAGAATTCTTTGTTATTCTCTCAAAAATTCCTATTTAGTATTTTTTGTTTTTGATATTTTCCTTTTCTTGCTCTGGCGACTAGAATTCTTCGTTGTTTTTTCAAAAATAATTAATTTAGTATTCTTTCTTCTTAGTTGATTGCTCTTTTGCTTTTGTGACTAGAATTCTTTGTCACTTTTCAGGCTTCGTACTCGATAATTAATTTTAAAAAGGTATAGCAAAAAATAGCTTAAAGACTAAAAAAAAGTAGTAAAAAAGTAGCTATCAAAAAATTAAACTTGACTACTAGATTATTTCATAATTTCTATATTACATTCAAATATATAATTTTTTTTAATCAATAGTTAAATATACTTATTTATTTTTTTATAGGAATTAAAATATTTCAAATGATTTCAATGTAAAACATTTTTGAAATATAATATCTAAAAATTACAAAAATAATTCTTTCAAAATTCAATAATTTCTTTGTTTTCGCGGAATTCTTTTAAAACTGTATTAAAAATAATTGAAATCCTACTATGAATTTTAATATTTATAAAAATAATTGAATTCTTGCGAAGAATTTTATAAAAATCTATTTAAATAATTTATTTTTTTCAAAAAATTTTATGAAAATTGTGTTTTAAGAAATTGAATTTTTTTTAAAATTGTATATTATTTTATAATGAAAATAATTGATTTCTTTCAAGAAATTT